TGCCTCACGACCGGTCGCTTTAGCACTGTTCATAGGTGATAAAAGGGTGATAAAAAGTGCTGTTTGTGTTTTTCTTTAGTTTTCTTGTGTTGTTTCATTTCTTTTACACTTCTTTACTCATTTCTAGTTTCCCTCTTTCATTTGTGCATTTGTGGTGTGTTAATTAAGTGTTCTCTTTGTACTCGAATTAGAACTTATAGGAAACCGACAAGTTCTTCGTGGGATCGACCTCGTACTTACATAATCTATACTTCGATAGATTCGTGCACTTGCGGGTATTTTTAATTGGTTGTTTGCACATTAATTTGTGTCCTTTTAGGAATGCAACACACGCCCCCGCACGTGTGGCAAATTTTCAAGCCTAGCACGTGGACAACATATATTGGGTGACGTGAAGCACGTGTGGCCGTTGGACTTTCACACGTGGGCTAACCCGCTCTGATACTATGAAAGAAGTTGAGGTTCCACCCTAAAACCAATTGGCAATGGAGGGAGTAGCTCAACTCCTTATAAGCCCTTGCTAGATTTCTCAACTTTCCAATGTAGGACTTTTTACCTTCACATTCTCACACGCCCCCGCACGTGTGGCGAATTTTCAAGCCTAGCACGTGAACAACACATATTGGGTGGTGTGGAGCACATGTGGCTGTTAGACTTTCACACGTGAGCTAACCCACTCTGATACCATGGGGAAAAGAAAGTTAGGTTTTGGTTTTAGAGAGAGAGAGAGAGAGAAAGAGAGAGTGTGTGTGTGTTATGAAAAATCTGTTACAATCTTCACTAAACTTAAGTAGAGCTTAAGCTAGACTTTATATAGCTAACTGACTTTCTTCTCCTCAAAGTAACCTAACTAACATTCACGTGTTATACAATGAGAAGCACGTGACCACTCCAGCTCATTCTGCACACCTCAGCAACAATACTGTTAACATTGAACAGATCTTAACAGAGAAAATCCAAGTGGAGGATCTATATCCCCGCTTAACTCAAAATCTCAGACTACGTAGCCTTAGACACAAAAAAAATATCAGCACAGAAAACATAAGCAGACTATTATGGGATACATGCATGTAATGATCCACGAACTACACCATATATTCAGCTGGAAATTTGACAACAGATAAAAGCTCTAAATTCCAAAGCAATGAAAAGAGAAAGTAGAAGCAGAGGAACCAGATAATGCCATTCAGAGATGTGATACTGGTCCTAGACGTCAAGCATATCACGTGTTCCTGCACCCATGGTTGCAGTGTAGAATAGTACACTGATAGGCTGTCACAATGTTCCAAAAGCTAAGAAATAATGCAGAGCCTAAGTTAGCATATTGGGTTTTTTTTTCAATTTTGGAGCAAAAATATTGGGTTTAGATTAACATTAGAAACACTCTCAAATCAATCAATTATCAGAGATTATGGTTCCATTTTTAACATGGCAACCAGTCTGCTCCAGAGCAGATTCAAAGAACCCACAACCATGGATGCTTGAATCTATACATGGTGGAGCAAAGTGGATGATCATATCTCTCAATGTGAGCATCCCTGTGGCATGATTTGATTCATCAACCAAGAAGCTGAAACTGCTTTTTGTGTCTGCCATGTTTCTCATGGCTTGCTTCAGTGTTTCGGTTTTCTTGTTGGTGACCGGTGAGTCCATTCTTGGCGCGAAGTTGTTTTTGAGGCGCAGGAAGCCAGCTGAGAGAAGAGCCCCAATGTCTCTTTCAATTGTTGGATCAGAGCCTGTTTTATGATGATCATTCTCCATGTGAATGAACTCCTCCACAGTTAGACTTCTGCAGTTATATGATTAAACATCAAATTAAACATGTAATATTACATATCTTAAGTCAAAATTTCTTCTTTTCTTCCTTTAACATGCCTTAGCTCCAGTGAGTTATCCAATCCAATCCAATCCAATCCTAGGCACCAAACAAGCCCATTATCTTGAGTTCACGCTGTTATTAAGATATAACTGGCAAGGGTCTGGACATTTATGTGTGCCTATATATATAATTTGCAGATCAAATGCTACACTGAAGTGGACATGAGAAACTAACAACTCCTTTAGATGCATATCTCTTTTCGTTTTAGAAGCATATCTCTGTTCTGTTTTCTGTTTTTCTTTGTCAACTAGAAGAAGAGGGGAGAACAGAACGGCGAAGTTAGGAATTGTTCATTAATTAGTAGCATATTGGATAAATGGCTGTTTGACATTGGAAATTTTAAGTAGCATATCTCATTGCATATAAAACTTTTGAGATAAAATTCAATATCTGAACTCCACAACATGCTTAAGTTGGAGATAGTCGGCAATCAGTTTGAATTTGGGGAGTTGGGGACCTCCTCTCTCCTCCTTGTCTCTCTTTTATTAAAAAACAATAGCGAAAAATAA